GTCGCAGTTCAGTTGTTTCGCACTTGAAAACAGCCTCAAAAAGAAGTATCCTTAAGCCTCGCCTTGCAAGAATACACTCAAATACTCTACATCACACACAGAAGCTACATCAGCGTGAACTTCAAATGGGAACTTTAACTGCTCATAACCATACACCAATCAAAAGATCAGCGTTCCATCATCATTCGATGAAAGACCGACCCCTGAAACAATAAATCCGGCCGAAATAGAATGGTAATATCAACAGAGGCTTTCTACTTGATGGCCGCTGATCCGTCATCGCGGGCAACGCATCGAGGATCAAAGGGCTATATTGGTCAGCACATAAACCGATCGAAGGTGTTTACAGCTGCATCTATGGGTTAACAGAAAGAAAGTGATACATCAATAAATGGGGGACTAAAAGTGGAGTACTTGTCTCATCAAAGATTGTGAAAGATCGAATGTAGCATGTACAACGATTGCTAAAGAATCAAATGAAAACAAATGAACCCAAAGTCTATATCCGTTATTCAGTTGCCAGATACATGTACACACACATTTAAACAGACAAAGTAGTGAATTGGGCAAGGTTTAGTCTTATAGAGCTTGTACAGAACCTTGATAAAGTTTCGGACTTTCAGAGTTTTCAGTAATTATATTTACCTATCTGCACTGCCAAAAACAACAATGAATACCTAGAAAACATTTTGTAAAAGTAAATAACATGTATAAACACGAGTGATTAACTTATAATGAAAAATTATTTATTACTTCATTATTGTCGTAAATAAAATACAATCAATGTTTGCTAATCAATAGCGCATAACAGTAAAACTATTATATTTTTCGTTAATTATAAAAAAAATAACACGAAATGCGTCGTAGAAAAACAATTATTAGTTTACTCGTATTAGAGTATAAGTAGTTGGGAGGCTTTCATTTTCAATTTAAAATAATTAAAATGAATTAATCAAACACTTCATGATACAAAAGCAGACTACATTTGGCAAATAAGTGAACGTATTGTGCTGTAGATGTGTACAAAACAAGTGAATTGTAATGACAATGAAACATATGGCGACGTTTAATCATTATTTGCACAGTTTATTGGCGATTCAAATGTACTGCCAAGATGTGCGCCATTGGAAAGAAAATAAAACGTAGGTATAATTAATAATGATATTACAATTATTATTTATCTTCGTTTTACCTATTGTAATAGTACGTATTTCGATAAATTTATATCGTGTAGGTACGATATTTAGGTATTATAAATTCATTAACAAGCACGCAAGGAAAAAAATAGTAATGGTACTTTGACTGGAAAAGCTTAGGAAACAGTTTTTTGACGTTTACATACAGAAACTGATAATGGACCGACCAAGTGAAATCGGCAGTGGGAGACAGCGTATGTGACTGCACCAGACATTCTACCAACAGAGAGAGATGGCGGGAGATCGTGCGAAGAGTTGTATCCGCCTCTACAACCGATGTCAACAACGCCTCAACATGACCACGACCGCTCTGCCAAGAGCGAAACGAAAACGAATACAGAAACGCGTTGTTTTGAAGGATCGATCTTACTCATCACACCTGGCATGCTGTTTTATGAAGAGAAAAACCGTTTTGCTAACTATCAATATTAAAAAGTAACCACTTATGAAACAAATGAAAAACAGCTTTACATTCAAGAGGGAAATGTCGGGCATTACATCACAAAGAGCCGGCTGTGATACCGCCAGGATGCGGGCGGTCCTTCGTGGCTCTTCCGACCACTCTCGCTTCCCGCCGCATGAACATGTTCCAGCTAATATCCGACTACAAGTGTTGCTAACGTGTTTTAACTACTAAATGGACTTGTAAAATTATTATAATATCACATATTCTGGTGTAACTGTCTCTTTCAACTTATTTTAACATAATTTTCTGAAAGGAATATGATTGGTCTGATTGAGACGCGCCTGCAACAGCTTATAAGGTTTCACCGTGGAAGATTTACCCACTATAGAAGAAGGCTTATGTTTATAATAGCATGATAAGTGAAATGATTTTACAGATTATGATTTCTTTGTCCATCGTACTCTTCACCACTATAAAATTAAGTAGCATATTTTTTATTGTAGCGTTTTTCAGACTCAGTCGAAGAATAAAAAGCCAAGCCGGTATCAATTAATTTGTTTTCCGCGTATGAAAAAACTAAATTGATCTAACCAGGCCCACACTTAGCACAAGCTGCTTAATGAAGTCATTAATAATAATTACAGCCCTACCTATTTCCACCTGAGCCGCACGCTCGAGCGGTTCTATTTCGGGCCCTATCCCTACGCTCGGTGGACGGAGGAAGTTCGCTCGACAAAAATACTAACATCTGTCTCTATGGCCGAACGACCTGTCGAGCTTTGTAGAAACAAAAAGATAGGTAGGTCTGAACTAAACAAATATAGGTACTTTCTAAACCAGAAATCGGTATTTTAAACAACAACTAATATCAGGATTAACTAAATAGTTACATAGGTATGGATATTGTGAATAAATTTTGTTCGTAGCAAATGGATAGAAAGCTGTTTGTCGGAGGTGTCACATGCAAATTGATTCTTATGAGATGATAATATACCTGATGATGATGAAGTTTCCTTTTCTAATAATATTGAACATAGAATATGACATTGATATAATATGTTAAGTACTTCTATTACAAGTCCTGGATATTTTTTATTGCAAATAATGAAAGACAACTCCGATAGACGCTGTAAATACAAATGCAATAACAGCATATACCCACTAAGAAGAAAGGAAGATACTTCGTAAGGCACGTTCTGGGAATGAGTTATTTTGACTACTCATATAGCAAACAATAACACTTAGGGACAAGGTTTTTATGTACAGTAAAATGTTTATTACTAAACTGTCACTAGTTTTGCAACATCACTTCAAAGTAGGGGAGACTGGGGCTGGTCCTAACAAATTTTGATTTGAGCGTAATATTTTCTGAACTGCTTTAGCAAGAAACATGGTTTTTTGGTACGTGATGTCAAATTTAATGAGCTTTACGTAAAGTACAACAAAATGTATATTATAATTACCATATCTGAGAAAAATCGAGTTTTTCCAAACAAGTCACTTGTTAGATCTTACCCCCGGTTTGGGGTTGGTTTTAACATCGCTGGGGAAAGTTTTAACAGCGGGGGTAAGAAATGATTTATAGTTGGGAATGGGATTTTGGCTAAGATAAACAACAAAATATGAAAATAATAATCAATATTTATTAGAAACACTAATAAAATTAAATGCGGTTCCTTACCGTTCATAAAATAAACAGAAAACTTAAATTTTATTAGTTAATTAAACTGACTTACTCAATCAGCATTACTCAAATCAAAGAACAAAAAATAATTTTTGATCATCAAATGATCATTGAAATTCGGCTCCTTACCGTTTAAACATGTGTAATAAACTTAAAACTTACTAAATCTATCTTTATTAAATAAAATAACAAAAAAAATACTTCTCTAATAAATCAACATACAACTTTGGTTATAAAAGTCAGTCTTACTCAATGTTCGGGGCAAATATTAACGCGTTAGAACCTACCCCGTGCATTTTGTTAAAACCAACCCCACGACCTCATTTTGCACAAAATTATTGTTTTTCTTTTACCGGTTATATTTTCGATTAAAACTTTGAAATTAATGAAAAACACAATAAATTCGGATTTATGCAATACCAAAGCCAATTTTCTACGATACATATTTAAAGAGTAATGCAAAAAATTAAACACGTAAAAAAGTTCATTTTCCTGTGAAATTTGAGGCGTCTGACGCAACCTGCTCCCGTGACGCTTGGCCGGCAACTGACAGGTCGAGACACGTTCGCGCTTATTCGTAGGCACAAAGTGCGTTGGAATTAGCGTGGTAAGTCGAATAGGTTCTATGTAATTACGCTGTTAGTATTTACCCCTGTTAAAACCAGCCCCAGTCTCCCCTAACTTGGAAACTCGAATTCTAAGAATTTACGAAGCAGCTTACGAAAAGCCACTTGGAAGTGTTTCTAAACATCTAAATGACAAGTGCCTCCATTTGAATACTGTGTGCCAACTTTATCGCGCCATTTCACACTATCTACATCTTCTGAAGCGCAAACGAGCGAGTTTGCCCATTACCAAAAACGTTTAACCATAACGCAAGTCTATTTCAGTTGCGTATCAACTCTTTGGGCATTTACCATTCTTTGAATTTTCAACTTTTTAACTGGGACTTAGAGGTTAAAATACCTCGCTGAAAACTATTTACCACAGATAGAACATGCTGCATTCTGCTCTTTATTACGAGTACCGAAGAATTAAAAGTCCGTGCGCGAGTTATGAATATAACGCGCTCGTTATGTGTGGTTGCATAATGTGCTCTAGCACAATAGAGTAAGGCCCATAATGGGGAGCGTGCGTAGTTTGCATAGCGGTGCAGCGCATGCGCCGCACGGTGGGCTGATATTAGAGCTTCATAGACTTAGCGTCGCTCAAAAATCAAGTGCCGAATTTTGAAAAAATAAATATGCCAATGTGTTCCTTTACCAAAAAGGAATATTTTATGTTATGTAACGTTTCTTGATAAAGTTATTATTTAATAAGTTATTGACAATTTCCTTTTTTTTTGTATGGAGCTCAACATTTATTTTTATTTTATTCGTTANAACGTTTTAACGTTTAACGAAGTTAATTTTTTTATTAACGGTTTAACGATTAACGAAGTTAACTATTTGATTAACGGTGCCCAGCTATGGTTTATATCACGTAATTATGGCCCGCAAAACCTTCTAAGTTCCTGGTCCTGATAGGATAGGATATAAAAACTTATACACAGGTCTTGGATAGAGGTATGTGACAGATAAAATCAGCTATCATATGGCAGATAAAAAATAACGGTAAAACTGTTCAAAAGTAACTGTAACTTCCTTGATGCACTATAACTTCTGCGGTAACTACGCAGTCAAAATATCCTGAAATAGTATCAAATTCCACCAACCTGTCTCCGGCGTCGGCGGCGGCTGTGTCGGCGTCGGCGGCGGCTGCGGTGTCGGCGGCGCGCTTCCCGGCGGCGGCGTGGGGATGGACGACACCGCCGCCGCCGACAGCGAGACGGGCGCCGGCGACGATGCCGCGGGAGCGACGGTAGCGGGCGCCAGGCTGGTCGCTGGCAGCGGGGAGGGCACGCTGGTGGGTGATGATGATGTCTGTTGGAGAAATGCACTGTTAGTGCTAGTTCATACTGCTAATCGTGTCACAGGATGACAACAGAAGCAAAATCGAGAGCATAAAGAAACAAATGGGGAACAGACAAACTATTAGTAAACACTAATCTTGTAAGCATTTGATCAATTATTATGAAAATTAACAACCGCGTTAAATCATTTAGGTTATTTCTCTACTTAGTTAGTAATTCCTTTATATCTTTCATAGAGATTTAATAAAGCAGATGTATGGTTGGAATAGAATCGGTCTTTAAAAAAGGTTACTAGAGAAGAAGTTTCTTAAATTAATAATGTATGGTTAACACATCTTAGGTATTTTAAATACACATCAGTAAAACCCAAATCTCCCTCCCTCTGATTCTCCCGATTGCCGTGCTTCACAGCACAGAGGGCAGCAATAAAATAGATGATTGAGTATTGACTGTCAGTCGCTCACCGTCACAACAGTCGTCGTCATCATCGCTTCACAAGTAGTCGGCGGCGGCATCGGCGGCAGCGGCGGTAGCGGCGTGTCCGGCGTCAGCTCCAGCGGCGGCGGCGTCGGCGGCGAGTCGGCGACCGACGGCGCGCCGCCGGGGGCTGACGACGCCGGCGGCGGGGATGGTATGAGAGGCGGCGTTCGGAGTTCCGTTCTGCGAAAGAAATTTGATGTTAGAAAATCATATAACTCTCCTTCATCATCATCATTTCAGCCACAGGACGTCCACTGCTGAACATAGGCCTCCCCCAATGCTTTCCATGTTGATCGATTGGTAGCGGCCTGCGTCCAGCGCTTCCCTGCTACCTTTACGATGTCGTCGGTCCACCTTGTAGGTGGACGTCCCACGCTGCGTTTTCCGGTACGCGGCCTCCATTCCAGAACCTTTCTGCCCCATCGGCCGTCAGTTCTGCGTACTGACGTACTGACGTATAACTCTCCTTAGTTTGACTGAAAAAGACCGTATCACGCAATAGATTTTGCGATCCGAACACTCGCTCTGTTCAACTGAACTATAATAATAATGCAATCAATACACCTTGCTTTTGTTTAGTGCGACTTTGAAATTTTGGTCGCGAGAAAACTATACTCTGTAAGCCATCTAGCGCTGCTTGTTTTAATGATTTGGTTAGAGACAGAACTAATGTTTTAACTTTTAATTCTATCCAAAATGGAGCAAGAATTTTGCTTACGATAGCTTCTTTAACCTTTATAACTCCATGCCATTAAGAGCGCTTTCACATTAGGGCGTGAGAAGCGCGACAGCAGCGTGGCAGCGGCGTTTTTATAATGAGAAGGCATGCATCAGCTATCACATAGTATAAAATTTTCGGCAGCGCGTCCGCCGCGCGTTTTCGCGCTGCTAAATCGCCTAAACGTGAAAGCGCTCTAACACATGTTCATCCTCTTGTCAAATTCAAAATATCAGCCAAAAAAGGCATTAGGTATCCTTTTTTTACATTTTCAAAGCAAGTCCAAGTTCTTCTATAGTAATCTGTAAACTTTAAATCTCAGTATCACCGCCATATTTCCAGTCCCCTCGCCCTTCAACCCTCGCGAGCCGCGGTCTAATTAACCCGTCGAGTCGCGTAATTATGTTTGCGCAAACGATCCGCCGATCTGTATAATTGAACGATGAGCCGCGTTTTAGGGTTGAACGTGTTGGGGTGGGTCTTGGTTAAAAAGGAACTTAGTTTGGCATCTTATGATGTTCTAATGTTTTTGAAACAAAAATGTCCTGTCGGCTGATAAATGATACAATGGTTATATCACGAATTTTTATAGTTTTGTTAGATAATATTGCTAGAAATTTGACATCATACTAACTAATATAAAAAATCTCGCGTCCCAGCAGTGTTTGTAACAAAACTCTTCGGAAACGTCTTATTTATTTCGATGAGCGACATAATAAGCTTACAGAAAAACCAAAGCTTGACGTTTCTTTTTTTCTTGACCGATTCTTATTAAATTGTGAGCGTATATTCAGTAGGTCTGAGAATAGGACGAACTACTTTCATATCCCTAAGTGTTACCTAAGGGTTTTCAACTTTTCACGCGTACGAAGTCGCGATTTCTTCAGGTAAAAGATGTCTGACAAATGATATTACATATTTTCTCATTATGTATGTTTAAAAATAGTTATCATTATGAAATCATTACGCTCAAAGCTAGGTAACTTCAAAATTATTTATCAAAGCCTCATAAATAATTGCAAGCGTTGATTACACCAATCGTAATTAATAACTGAAACAAATAAACATCGAATTTTCACCGCGGCAAAATCAAACCGCAGCATTTACCAAAAAAGCACCAAAAAGTTGCAACGTTGTCCGTGGTACAGCCAACAGTAGGTACAGTCAGCATCAATTAGTTCGTGACACCCAAAGTGACCAAAAAGTTGACAAGGCCACCTTATTCCAACAAAGACGTGTTGCGAACTTATTGGCTAATTTTATTAAATTTTGACCACTGCAACTGGTGGCACTTATGAACGTCAAATACAGTAAAAAAAGGTAGCCCTTAAGGGGCACTTTACATGTCTCCTTATCTTTTGGGCCCTACCAGCGCTTCGTAACAAACATAAAATATTATTATGGCAGGTGCTGAGAAGAAACGCCGGAACAAACTCACTTAACACTAGTTGCCAGATAGTCTGACATGCTGTGGACTGTACAAAACCGTTATTTGCAGATCATTAAAATTTAGCCAATTAATACCCCAGCCAGGGGTAATTATACGCGGGGGTGGGGGGGATGCAAACACAATCGAATTAATCCAACTTGCGGATTAAGGGAGCTTACACATTGCGACTTTTTTCAGCATTACACGCGCATTTTACAGTCGCGCCTGTCACGACTAGTCGTGCTATTGTATCGCGATTGTTGCTGCTTTTAGTAACCCGCGTGTGAGGGTAGATTTTTTGCCACTGTATGGATGCTGCATCACGACTGAGGACTCATTCAGTTTTGGGGGGTCCAGTAAAACTGGACAGTCGTGAGAACACACACTTGTGCGTTTAAAATTCGAATTCCAAAAAATTTATACTACTAAACGGGGTCCTAAATATTTGAAATATTTGGATTTGCAAAAAACGGGATAACTCCGTGGGAATAAGCATTTGTATCGCTTTCAAAACTCGCAGTGTAAAAGGGCCCTAAGGCTTATGCAGTGATGGACGCAGCGTGTGATACAAAGCGTTTACAGCTTAATAAATAATAAAACAAATATTCCCGATCAGCATATTCTGTTTGTATTTGTACCTGACTGTGGATGTAACATTGTCAATACGAAAGATTTTATTGATGTTGACATTTTATTGATGTTGTAAAAGTTAAAATTTTAAATCGTTGTTGTAAAAGTTAAAATTATTAATTAGCAGCAGTTAGCTAGAGACCTTTGGCTTAATTGTTTAATTGTATTTAATACTGTATCTCATGTTGATAGCCCAATAAAATAAATAAATAAATAATCAACATTTAAAGAACTTTATTAACTTTTTTTAACACTTGCATCCTTTAAAATCCAACAAATAACATTCGCATCCAGCAATGTAACCATCCTAATATCTACAATCTGCACAGAGGTCGGTAATTATTTTTTCCGAAACCACCAATCAAGGCAATGCACAATTAACAAAAAACGAAAACCGAAAGCTGGGCACACAAAAAAGGCGTTTTTTGGTCACATCCTAAACGGATAGGCCAGTCCAGGCTCTCTTGTCAAAATCTAGCTCTCTACTCTATTATGAAATAATTCATTGAAATACAGTGTGAGTCACGTTAAAGTGTACATATGAAAATAGATGAAACTGGACCTATTTTTATCGACAAAAAAGAGGTCAAAAAATTTTTGAGATTTTTTTTTAATTTTTTATAGAATTTTTTTTCTTCCAATTACTTATTGTAAAGAAAACGTAATAACTTTTAAACTAAGCGGTATATCTTGATAAAATAAAAACAGTAACAATGCTAAATAAAAGGCAATACTAAAAAAATACATAAAAAAAACAAAAAAGGCCAACAAATAATAAAAAATGATACTTTTTGAAAAAAATCTGCTTTAAAATTCGTGTTTTTTTGGTTATTTGATAAATTTCTCCAAAAAATGCCCCTATAACATGTGGTTTTTATTACTTTGTATTATTTTCCATCGTATTATCTTTGTAAAACCAAAAATCGCATGTCTCTATCCCTGTTACAACATTTGCTATGATCGTTTGAACAAAGGCCTGCCACAACATTTTTCTCCGCTACAGTTAGAGACAATTTTAATTTTAACTAAAATGCTTATTTTACTTTGAAATCTTTTGTTTTTATTTGAAATCTAACTTGTCGTTATCAAAATAACAAATCTAGAGCCATTTTCAGTTTCGTTGTTAACGAAGCGTTGAATGGCGCGCCCGGAGAGGCTTAGTTCAAACGATCATTGCAAACGTTGTGATAGGGATAGAGACATGCGATTTTTGGTTTTACGAAGGTAATACGATAGAGAATAATACAAAGTAATAAAAACCACCGGTTATAGGGGCATTTTTTGGAGAAATTTATCAAATAACCAAAAAAACACGAATTTAAAAGCAGATTTTTTTCAAAAAGTTTATTTTTTTATTATTTGTTGGCCTTGTTTATGTATTTTATGTATTTTTTTAGTATTGCCTGTTATTCAGCATTATTACTGTTTTTATTTTATCAGGATATACCGCTTAGTTTAAAAGTTATTTCGTTTTCTTTACAATAAGTAATTGGAAGAAAAAAAATTCTATAAAAAATTAAAAAAAAATCTCAAAAATTTTTTGACCTCTTTTTTGTCGATAAAAATAGGTCTAGTTTCATCTATTTTCATATGTACACTTTAACGTGACTCACACTGTATAACCCAACACACTCACTTGTATTGAATTTTCACCCAACCTCCCCGTGGCCCAAGTCAAGGAGGGCTTATGCCTGAGGGCATTAGACACCTTATACGTAAAATCAGTTTCAAGAGTAAGGTTTGTTTGTACCTTACCAACAATATATTCATCTATAAAAAGAAGTATCTAAGAATAAAGAACGAAAATATTTTATCAGGCGGTGATATATCTAATTAAAAAAAAATTATAAAATTATTCGGGTCTACCCAGAATGGACTAGCTGTTCTCCCTTTGCCATGCCCGCGCCGCCTCTGCGGGCATATTCCGCTTTCTCGATTGCCGGCTGCTTTTAATTAAGGCAATTAGAAAGATGGGCTCGCTGTTTGCGTAAAAATCTAAACAAGCCTTGTACGGTTACACTAGTGGCGGCCCGGTGTCGATAAACATCGGCTGTAGATTTATCGATATCCAAACACGACTCAGCCGAACGCTAATTGGCGCAATCGCAATAACCTGCATCGCAAATATTGACTGCGCGATGTTTCTATCGTTTTTTTTTTTGTTGTGAAACGCAACAGTATCGGCGGTTGATGTTTTATCGGTCCTTTGATACGTGGCAGGTTTAGATCGGGATAGATACTAGTGGTTTTAACTTTGTTTTTATTACTTTTTATTTGGTCAGAATTTACAGTGTATTCGAGAAATATTGCCTACAGCTGCAGTGATTTATACACCCCAAGAAAGAACTAAGATTTCCCTGAGCCTTCAATTAGCACCTAATGCAGGCATGAGCAAAAAGACATGAAAAAGAGTTACATAGAGAGTGACTTAGAAATTGCTAAGTGACTTCTGGTACCTATACTCACTAGGAGCACGATATTTGTATCTTCCAAAGAAAAACTTTTAAAAGGAACAGAAAGTTTATTGATTGTGTTGTGTATCCTTATGGAAAACAATGTACAATTCAATAGAATGACATTAATCAAATAATCAAGAATCCACGATAAGACAGTCACCTACATCGACAAGCAACATATCGACACAGCCCCCTCCCTACCCCCAAGGGGGCATCTGCAAATAATCACGGGAGTGATTGTCAACACGCACGAATATAACGCGGGCATTATTCCCGTTTCCTTCGCAAAAACAAGCCCCCACGGGAATGGGAGGCTCAAATCGAACGACGACAATCGAACAAATAAATTTATTTATTCCAGCAAATTACTTGGGACTTGTTTTTCTCATTATTCCGGGAAAATTCGGCTTATTTATAAATCAAGATGGGGCAAAACATTTTCAAAAAAATCAACTGTTACCTACCTACTAAAATACCTGTTTGTCGTTTTGTTATTTGAGACAGTCTCTAATTAGTAAGTTTATTTCTGACAACAGATTTTCAGATTTTCAAATATTTCAATTTCCCAGTAGCTCAATGAGCCGTTATACTGGTATTAGTAGAAGACATGTGACATGGTAAAATCGACCACATATTTTTTAAGAATATTAGCAAATAGCAATTTGTAAATAAAAATTAATAATAATCCCATTAACCCCTCGTGGTAAGCTAAATATGCTTATGTTACGATTGGTGGAATATTTGACGATCCTATTAAACAATGCTGATACCTCTACTACAATCTTGACCTAAAACATTAATTCTATTTCCGAGTTTATGTATTAACCTTCATTCATATTTGAAAAGAATTACAAAATTACATTTAAAGATCAAAGCCTTACCAAGATGATATTAAATTGAAATGAACAATCGTAGATATAAGAAAAAGGTCCAAGACTGAGAGTTGCCGGGTTGGAAGCTAGGGGGTAGGGGGGTGTATAAAAATGTGAATTTTAAACGATTAATCTCGAGATGAAATATCGAGTTATCCGGGGTGTTCAAACACAGCCGGGAACTCCTCTCTGGGTGCTTTTTAAAAATAAAATTCTCCCGCACATGAAGATTGATTTTGGTAATGCTGTGTGCTTATCTGAATTTCATGGGAGATAAGTGCATTGAAATTGTTACAGGACCAACCCTTTTCAGGCGACTACGTCTGTAAGGAACCGTCAAAAATATTGTTCCTGTACATTTCGTACAGTTTATTATGGTTATATTTATATTTAACACATGAATTGTTGATTATTCGCATAAATTAGTAATTAATTTATTGTTGCAATTCCATAAACAGGTTCATGTAATGGGTCTATGTTTATCAACTAAGAACTTTTGTAAATACATGAAGCAATAAAGAACATTTTGAATTTAACGCAAATATAGTCCCTTCCCTTTATATCAAGACGAATAATTACCTAATCAATAAGTTAATAATTTTTAAATTCGAAGGTAGACCATTATTCTGCGGGTAGGCTACAAAATACTAGCTAGTCGCCTAAAGCGATTTTTCTCGAGCGCTTAAAAATTTACGTCTAAAGGCCAGAACACACGCCGACCTCATCCATTTAAGGCGCATTACACACGGCGCGACTCCGACCCGCAAAAACTTCTTTAATAATTCAACAGAACAGAGAACGTTCTGTTGACACTATGTAATTAAAAAGCTCTCTCGGCACGATATTGATACAGAGGAAATTATATGATATTTTTCCCGGTACCCGCTTTTTGTCGGGCTGTAGCGAATTTGTATTTGTACAGTATCGATTGAAGGCCGTGTGTGATGTTGGATTGGAAATACGAATATTTAGATACGATTGGTTACTGTTTTTGTTGCTAACAAATTTACAGATCATGATTCAGATTTCAGATCAGATTTATAGATAAAGATTTGAATATACCTAATGATGTACTGATTTAGAAGTGTCGAAAATACGTTTCTAACTTCATTACTAATAAAAAGACACGTTATTACACGAGCGTTGAACACTTGTTTAAAGTGATGTTTAGTATAAAAATTGCATTTTAAACGCATGTGTTCATTTATGAGTATTACGCGACATTTATGAGTAAGTTACTTCAGTCATCAGACTAAACCAGTTATCCGAACTCCCATGTCTCTCCCATACCTAATCGTAATGAGATTTTGTTTCTGAAAAATTGAGGCGTGTATAAATTCTCTGAAAGGTACGAATTCGGCGAAAAGGCTGCTTAGTTTTGTAATATCCTAAAAATGTTTAAGACACTTCGATTGAACAAAAAAAAATACACGTGATACTGTGTGCCGGCCGCGTCACACAAAACAGGGGGCGTAGTGTGAGTTTACGTCAAACGCATTCGATGTCGACTGCCTAAAAAAGTGATATTAAGCCTAGGCGCAGACCATCGACTTTTAGTTGGCCGATAGTTGGGCCCGATTTTAATTTGTATGAAGAATCAGCCGATACCAAATCGGTGTAATATGCGCCCTATCATACATCTCCATAATGATTAACAGCCCAACCCAATTATCGACCAACTAAAAGTCAGGTGGTCTGCGCCTAGACAGCGCCCCTAGCGGAAACTTTCAAGAACTAAAATCTTCAAGTATATTTTTTTAACGCGTACGCTAGTGACGACGTTTGATGTAAACTCACACTAAGGCTAAGAACTCACGGCGCGGATTTTCACCCGCGCGTTAGCGGGCGATGATCGGCGTCTACGTAACCGCGCAAATAACCGGTCCCATGAGTTTTGAAATAAAACCGCAATACCACCATCTGCGGGTGCAAATCGCGCAGTGAGTTCGTAGCCTAAGCCCTCAGAACCTAACAGAATAGAACAGAAGTTATTCGTAGCACGTACCTTGCAGGCTGCGGCGCCGCCGTGGGCAGGATGCAGGAGACACCAGCAGCCAGCCCCGTCTCGTCCAAGCTCGGCTCCTTGTTGTCCACCGACCGCGCCGTCGCTCCTGCGAGACAAATATTGGACTTTATACTTGCTTACAAAGTTAAAATTTATTATTTATTACATAATAAAGTTCAACTCGATCCTAAGTCACAGTTTTTGATGATGATTCGAACATTATAGAGACTCTTTTTTACAAATTCAAAAAAATACAACAGATTTTATAAATCATAAAATTATTCATTTTCATTCAAGTCTAGATAACTGTAAAATGTGTCTAGAAATTAATAAATTTTTAGTCGATTGAGTATACAAAATCAATAAGAGAGAGGGCACGTGCCAAGAGCCCCGCGATAGATGGGGCCTCCGTCTGCTCTAACAAAAACTGTTGTCCCTTTTTTTCAGCGAAAAGGGCCTCCTTGATATCTAGAAATCAGCCCTGGACCGTTAACTACCGACCGGCTAACATTAGCGGAAGAATGTCGGGGCGCGTCTTCGTGGATGGAACGATCTATATTAAAGAATTTGAATTTGTCCCTTACCTTGCGACCTCTGGAGGCGCGTGGTGACTCCGGCGGGCAGGTCGGGCTCCGGCGCCGGCCGCGGCGGGTTCCGCGCGGAGCGGCGCTGGCGTGGCTTCCGGAGCAACTGCTTGTAATTCTCAGCCTTCTTCGATAGGTAATAGAATCTAAAACAGAATACAGCTGTTAACACCTGCATTGTACTATCGTACATACTGCTGCACCGTCAACATCCTCACTAGGGAGTTAGTTCCCTTCCTGACCTCATATCCCGGGCACGGGAGCGGTGCCTTACAACCACTGCCTCCCGCCCGTACATGCACAGTCTTTAAATTTCAATCAACTTTATACTATTACTATCTATTTGAATTATAATGGAACGTGAAAGCTTGTAGTTTACTTTTTAATCAATATTTACACCCGAAAAATCCGGCTCGAAGGACCAAATTTCGCGTCCAAATCAAACTACTTAATAATCATTAAATGGTGAAAGGCTTGATTGCTTGGCAAAACGGTTATTATAACCATTACACACGACGAAGGTAGCCGAACGTGAACTGACTTAGACTTTATCATTAATATTTTCACCTGAAAAATCCAGCTCGAAGGACCAAATCGTCGCGTCCAAATCCAACAAATTAATAAGCACTAAATGGTGAAAGCCTTGGCTGGTTTCACTTGGTTGTAATTAGTAAAATGGTTATTACACACGACGTAGGTAACCGAACGTCGACTGACTTACGCCCGTATTCACAAACGATGCTTGCTTAAGTAAAGCAGCAAATCGAACGCACAGCGTTGAATAGAGCTCTGTGATTAGTTCATGTGTCACCCTGTGCGTCCACGCGCACCGTGAGACCTCATAGTAATGTTTGTGAATACGGGCGTTAGATATTACAATCCCAACTAATATTATAAATGCGAAAGTAACTCTGTCTGTCTGTCTGTTACGCTTTCCCGCTTAAACCTCGCAACCGATTTTGATGAAATTTGGCATAGAGATAGTTTGAGTCCCGGGAAAGAACATAGGATAGTTTTTATCCCGGTTTTTGAAACAGGGACGCGCGCGATAAAGTTTTTCTGTGACAGACAAAATTCCACGCGGGCGAAGCCGCGGGCGGAAAGCTAGTATTATTTAAAAGGTTTTAAAGTCAAATTAGAAAATTTTGAACCTGTGCTTACGGGCGAAGTGAATTTACTGTAATTAGGATAAATCCCCAGTTCTCACCTAACACAATCCCTGACACTCTTCCGGGGCAGAAAGGAGGCAATCTGGCCGAAGTTCTTGGGGTGCTGAAGGTATTTCTCGCGGAACACCTCCCGCTCTGATTGCGACCACACGTTGCGAAGTTGCAGCTCCTTGTGCTCCGACTCCATGTCCATACACCGGCCTGGGGAAGGATGGAATATTAGTATCTAGACGTTTAAGCTGGTATTTGACACTATAACACTTTGCGGGAGAAAATAGCAGGTTAGTATTTAGAATTTTAAATAATGCTCTATACTCCTGAACCGATTTTTGGATGGTAAACACGTGTAAATATTTGTATCATAAAATTAATCAGAAAAGAGGTACCTACCTATTGTCAAATAACTGCAATTAGGCGCCATTTTTCTATTATAGCGGCGCGCCCAGTAAATATAGCGTCAAAGTTGTGATTCGGAAAAAGCATATCGAAATCTATAATATGAAGTTCAAAATTCCCAGAAAACTTTCCAGGTAAAACCTCCAAATGCCGGAAACAAAAGCTCCATCTGGATATAAAAGCTAGAACTAACGCGTAGTGATCTGAAAGGGAGGTCCCTTTTTACAGAATCAAAACCTTCATGGTTCTCGCGGTAGAAACTAGCGCCGCCACTCGTAATAATATACGACTTTCTCGCACCCCATTTATCAAGGACGCTCAATGCCATCTATCTCTGGATGCTGAAAACTTGATATTGTACTAGTAATATGCTGGCTCTGGTAATTTTACAATGAATACAAAGTACTAAACGAAAATGTATGACGGCGCTAGTTACGCGAATTTATTAAAATGATAATGGAAGTTCGTAATCCACTGGCCCATTTATTATCCCGAAGCAGTGGTAGGGTTAATACCGGGACGTGTAAAAGTGCTTTTTAAAAGCCTATTTGCAAAAATAAATGAGTTTTATAAGTTTTGCTCAATGGTGATTTCGCCATCTACGAGTGTAAGCAAAGTTGTTGTTGTTTGTTATCCTAAATAAAATAAAAATAAAAGTTACCAGTTGTTGGTTAGAAAGAAACAAAAGTTAACAAAAATGTTAACAGCATTGCTGTGTTACGGCAGTTAGAGGTAAAATTTAAATAGCCTCTGTGGTTGAGGATCCCGGATAAAACTCGCTTTCACCTTCGGCCTAATCATCACTTCCATCCATCCATGGATGGAAGGCATCTCAATGTAGGCTAGAAATTTCCTCGTTGTGCTAAAAAAGATGATAAAAGCTGTTTCAACTTGTTCCCAGAAAAAATATCATAGCAAGTCTCATTTATTATGGACAGCATTAAATTTGGTACGAACGACCGAGGCCAGCGATCATCTCCATACAATAGACGTGTCTCATTCTTGTCAATGATTGCGTGTCTGAAAGTATTCCACATAAATAACGCCGGCACAAACACAAACCAGTGACCGATGACGTCACACTGTCAGCTGTTTATCGCGGTCACTGACACTATTCGACATAATATCATTCTGAAAGCAGTAGGATGTGGGCTAAGTATTACTAATGCGGGAGAATGCATAAAATATCCAAATGCACACGGTTAAATTCCAACTTTTTTTTTACCCTAAGTTTGTGCCTAAGTCAAGATTATAAGGCAAACTGGCCGTATAGAGCAGTCCTATTTAGCAATATTTAATTAAAACACGTGTACGTCATCTTCTACCATTTTATAATTACCGCACCATACATTCTAATTAACTCATGGCCAAAATAACTGCGGTTTTTGATGTTTTTACATTTTCATATTGTTTATAAGACTATTTAAACAATATTAAAGTGTAAATGCATCGAAAATTTTGGAAATATAATCTAAAACTGAATTCAATTTGACAGTTGTAATCCGGATTTGGACAAGGATTGAATATGGGAATCGGGCGTTATTAGTCACCGCTAGAAAGATAAATTAATTCGTATTAAGTATAAACTGACTGATATGGGTCATAAAACATAATGTATAGGTAATTAGGTATACCATACCAAAGCCAAGGTTGATTTCAGTAGAAGTGAGCAACTCATCTTCATGACGACGATCTCTTAGAGATCACAAGTTCAATACTTTTCGAAGGACGTCTACGACAACGTAAATAAACGTGACCTATTTATGTGACGTCACATCAGCTGTATGTCGCGGTCAATAACCCCGACTGCACTTTCCAGATGTACTGAGGTTGGCGATCTTTCGTATACATAAGTAAGAAGGAAGGATACTTTTTTACGTGGTCTTTTTGTCATCACAAACCTTGGGAATATCCCTATGTATGGCACCACAACTACGTAAATGTCCAGTAGACAATGGGTGACAAATGACGAAAATAGAAATCGTAAGCAAAATGTCGATCGCTAAGCGGTAAGTGCTATCACTGCTATAGATGACTCACGCTGAACTGTCCCACCAAACTCAATGACAGGGGGGCGCTACCATCGCTCAACAATATGGTTTCCAACATGGCAAAAATGCCCCGCCGCTGGAGTCCCGCTGTCAATGTCATGGATAGGACAGTTCAGCAGTATATTGGAACTATAAAAAGATTTCTGAAAAACGTCACTATGGAAGTTAGCAAACGTGTCCTCGCCGAAAACAGCCGAAAGTTTTCAGCAGTTGCCATAGCAATCGCCATTTTGCTTACAATTTCTATTTTTGGCCAAACATATCCAATGTCGCACATTTTGCGTCACATAAGCCTAGCATTTGGCGCAACTTTATGGCGTCATGTTGGAGGATATTTTGCACCCTAAACTATCAGGGATCAACTTTGCCACCGTTTTCACACTACGACAACAGAAACACGTGACTGTGACGTCACTGCATCAGCTGTTCGCGGTCAACGACCGCTTACACTACGCTGTCGGGAATCGAGTGGGGTTCCCGCGCCCGTCTCGTCTATGACCTTAGCGACGCGTGGGCGATATTGAAGTCTGCATAGTACTATAAAAATAGTAATCATTCTCGTGAAATACAGACGCGACATGCCATTAGGGCTGTCACGTGTGATTTTATGATAATTTTTACAGCCTCCTTCCAAAGTTACCGTGCCTTAACTGTGTCCATATTAGTAATTAGTATGTGATTGTGCTAATGTTGTCAAGCAATAAAAGATTGAGGATTTGAGCTGATTTGAGAAAGTTTAAGACTAAATCACTCGTAAAACTTCCTACGAATTTAAGGAATATTTAGCAGCAGTCGAACGCGCATGGACCGTTACGTCACACGTCCGGGATATGTACATATCAGCTGTTCATCAGGGTCAATAACCCTTCTGGATTCGTCTTGGGTGGTGGTACGCGCGTGTGCACTCAATTTCGGGGCAACTCACCGCTAATCCACGCTAAATTTTGTCAGTGTGTGCGTGCGCGCCGCATACGTATTGGCGCGCTCACATACAAACCGCGCTCATTTGTATTTACTCTGGTCTCGCGGCGGGCGTGCAGACGGACTACTCACGGTTGGTGTCGACGTAGACGGGCGCGGTGTCGTGGCGGGCGTGCAGACGGGCTCCGGGGCGTGCAGACGGGCTACTCACGGTTGGTGTCGACGTAGACGGGCGCGGTGTCGCGCGGGTCGCGCAGCAGCGGCGGCACGACGGTGAGCGCGCGCATCTTCTTGTCCTCGTGCTCCTGCTCGTGCAGCCCGTCCGCGATCTCCTCGAGCTCGGCCTCGGACTTCACGCGCGCGCCGAGCCGGTTGACGATATTTTGTGCCCAAAACTATCAGGGATTTCAACTTTGCCACCATTTTCACACTTAACAGAAACACGTGACTGTGACGTCACTGCATCAGCTGTTCGCGGTCGACGACCCCTTACACTACGCTGTCGGGAATCGAGTGGGGTTCCCGCGCCCGTCTCGTTATGACCTTAACGACGCGTGGGCGATATTGAAGTCTGCACGGTTGGTTTCGACGCGAGACCAGAGTAAATACAAATGAGTAGGTCATCTTCGTAGAAACGCACCGAGCGTGGTTTGTTTGTGAGCGCGCGCCGCATACGTATTGGCGCGCTCACAAACCGCGCTCATTTGTATTTACTCTGGTCTCGCGCTGGGCATGCAGACGGGCTACGAGGCGTGCAGACGGGCTACGGGGCGTGCAGACGGGCTCCGGGGCGTGCAGACGGGCTACTCACGGTTGGTGTCGACGTAGACGGGCGCGGTGTCGCGCGGGTCGCGCAGCAGCGGCGGCACGACGGTGAGCGCGCGCATCTTCTTGTCCTCGTGCTCCTGCTCGTGCAGCCCGTCCGCGATCTCCTCGAGCTCGGCCTCGGACTTCACGCGCGCGCCGAGACGGTTGAAGCGCTCGCGCTCCTCGCGCTGCTTCCGAAGCTCAGGGAACACCTGGAAACACCATTATGTACAGTTCACACTGATAATTAACTTTTAAAAAAAATAAAACCGACTTCAAATGCGTGAACACAAAAAAATACTAAAAATAACAATTAACTTTTAAAAAAAATAAAACCGACTTCAAATGCGTGAACACAAAAAAAAACTAAAAATTAAAAATATTGCGTACAAAAAAGTTCATCCCCAATTTTCCACCCTTGGGGGTGAAATATTTTCTTCAAATTCGCATGAAACCACCCTTTTGATAATACCTATTCAACAAAAAAATAATCGTTCAATTTGATTTATAATCGGCGGAGATACTGCGTATAAAAAAGTTCATCCCCAATTTTCCACCCTTGGGGGTTGTTTTTTCTATTATTAAATTTAATTGGAACAACCTTTGAGGTATTACCTATACGCCGAAAAAAGATTTGTTCAAATCGGTTCATAATTGGCGGAGTTATCGCGTAACAAACATAGAAAAAAAAACATACAGGTCGAATTGAGAACCTCCTCCTTTTTTGAAGTCGGTTGAAAATAGCCACCTAATACATCGCGGGTGCACGAAGCAGATTAACGCCTATTAATACCCGCAGCGTGCGCCTGTTTCCCATTGCACACGTGGAAACTTAGTACTTTAGAGTGAACCTTACTGTCAGCCGGTTTGGTCGCAGCAATCGTCCCACACCAAATAAAAAATCTTCTATGTACTGCATAAACTATATTAGTCCATGATGATACTACTCATCAGCGACAGGAACAGAGGTGGAATTGTGTCAAGCAATCGTAATCATTTGACAGTTTATAACGTACGATAAAGTCCGTTAAACAAAGCGTTTGTCAGAATAATCGTACGTTATGAACTGTTAAATGATAACGATTGCTTTACACAATTCCACCTCAGGGATGTAATGGAAATCCGTAAACGTAACCGAAACTTTCGGATATCCGAAATAAAAAAATATCCGTAACCGGTATACATAATATTATTCCAATATCCGTAACCGCATCCATAACCGAATCTACGTATCCATAACATCCCTATTTCGAACAACGAATCAGATGTCGTTCAGATTGAATGAAATCTGACAGGTTATTCAAACATTCAACAATTCGCTTCGCCTTGGAGGAAACCGGGCGAATAAAGGGGAGACAAGTCGAGCGGAACGGAGATGTGTTTTAAACTCCCTGCACGCCCTGCAGACTATTATTACTCGGCCGACCCAGTCAAATCGACTTCTAATTAATATGAGGAATCAGCTGATACCAAANATCGGTTGAAAATAACCACCTAATACATCGCGGGTGCACGAAGCAGATTAACGCCTATTAATACCCGCAGCGTGCGCCTGTTTCCCATTGCATACGTGGAAACTTAGTACTTTAGAGTGAACCTTACTGTCAGCCGGTCTGTTCGCAGCAATCGTCCCACACCAAATAAAAAATCTTCTACGTACTGCATAAACTACATTAGTCCATGATGATACTACTCATCATAGCGATAGAACCGGGCGACAGGAACAGAGGTGGAATGAGGGCTATCGTTTTAGCGCTCACCAGTTAGCGCCACTGTAGATTAAGGTCCTGTCACTGTACGCGACTAGCATCGCGAAGACAGTGGCACCGACTGGTGAGCGCTAAAGTGGTAGGAGGACTATCGCATTTGCACTCATCAAGATGGCGCCACTGTAGAGTAAGGTCCTGTCAATCGCCAGGGGTGCCAACTGTTAAGTATAAAAACGATAACCCTCATTGTGTAAAGCAATCGTAATCATTTGACAGTTTATAACGTACGATAAAGTCGGTTAAACAAAGCGTTTGTCAGAATAATCGTACGTTATGAACTGTTAAATGATAACGATTGCTTTACACAATTCCACCTCAGGGATGTAATGGAAATCCGAAATCGTAAACGAAACTTTCGGATATCCGAAATAAAAAAATATCCGTAACCGGTATACATAATATTATTCCAATATCCGTAACCGCATCCATAACCGAATCTACGTATCCATAACATCCCTATTTCGAACAACGAATCAGATGTCGTTCAGATTGAATGAAATCTGATAGGTTATTCAAAACATTTATTCTCAAGCTGAGCGGAGATGTGTTTTGAACTCCCTGCAGACTATTATTACTCGGCCGAGCCAGTCAAATCGACTTCTAATTAGTATGAGGAATCAGCTGATACCAAATCGATGTAGTGTGCTCTTTCATACACGCATACTGTATGAAAGAGCACACACTACAAAAACGGCTTGACTAAACACAATCATTTACGTGCAATATGCACGTTTACGTGTACGTGTTAGGTATCTAGGTGCACATTGTGTAAAACTCAGTCTGAACCAAAGAAGAGACATAAAAAAAAGATCTCTATCTCTCTCATGCCCTAACCAGCTGCTTAGACAAAGCTTACGCTCAAACCTTAACTGCTTCCCAATTTTACTTTACTAATTGTTTCAAATATAACATTCAAAATGATATCTTACTTTCTCAAAGAACTCGCGATTTCTCGCGTCCTTGACTTTCCTCTTCTGTCCCTGTTCTATCCTCTCGACTCTTCTCAACCAGTCTGCAGCTCGTCTGCTGTACGCTTCTGCTAATAAGTCTTCTCTCTGCAAAGTGACAACATGTATATTAGGTTAATTTAAAGAAACACATCATACTCTGGCTGGTGACTGAGTTTCTTCCGCCACTTCTTCTCAGCACCAGCCCATATGTTGTCCCGAAGTGGTGGTAAGGCAAGCTATATTTGCGACGTGTATAAGTGCCCTGGAAAGGGCCTATGTACTGAATAAACTATTTCATTTCATAATCATCATTTATATGACGTCCACTGCTGAATATAGGCCTCCCCTTTTTATAACTTTTATAAGGTCATCTGTCTAACTTGTGTGTGAACGTTCCACGCTGTGCTTGCCGGTACACAGACAAAAGACGGTAAAGAATCAACTTTTGTTGACTTTATGAACACAACTTGGATGATGGTACACAGTCACACGGTGCGTTTTTCAGATGCACTACATACGCATCGTAAAAATCCCCTGTTTTGTCGTTCGTTTCAGCCAAATGACGTTCATTGCTAGACAAAGGCCTCCCCTAATAATCAGGATCAACGAGCAATCCTGCACTACCTGCATCAAGATGCTTCCCGCGACCTTCACCAGATCTTTAGTACACCACACTACGTCTTCCATCATCCCCTGTACTATGAAACATAGCGACTATTACCTTTTCCCCCTCCCTCCTTAGCCGGTGTATGTGGGCAGCGAGTCGCTTCCTGAAGGTGCGGTGTCGCCTGATGTTCTCGTGGTAGACAGGGGTGTCTTGGGGCTGGTTGTACGCCCGACGTCTTTCGTCATCCCCTGTACTATGTAACGCAGCGACTATTACCTTTTCCGCCTCCCTCCTCAGCCGGTGTATGTGGGCTGCGAGCCGTTTCCTGAAGGTGCGGTGTCGCCTGATGTTCTCGTGGTAGACAGGCGTGTCTTGGGGCTGGACGTACGCCCGATGTCTTTCATCATCCCCTGTACTATGAAACATAGCGACTATTACCTTTTCCGCCTCCCTCCTCAGCCGGTGTATGTGGGCAGCGAGTCGCTTCCTGAAGGTGCGGTGTCTCCTGATGTTCTCGTGGTAGACAGGCGAGTCTTCGGGCTGGACTTACGCCCGACGTCTTTCATCATCCCCTGTACTATGTAACGCAGCGACTATTACCTTTTCCGCCTCCCTCCTCAGCCGGTGTATGTGGGCGGCGAGCCGTTTCCTGAACGTCCGATGTCGCCTGATGTTCTCGTGGTAGACAGGCGTGTCCTGGGGCTGGACTTACTCAAAATCTTTCATCATCCCCTGTACTATGTAACGCAGCGACTNTTTATATTAGGTTAATTTAAAGAAACACATCATACTGTGGCTGGTGACTGAGTTTCTTCCGCCACTTCTTCTCAGCACCAGCCCATATGTTGTCCTGAAGTGATGGTAGGGCAAGCTATATTTGCGACGTGTATAAGTGCCCTGGAAAGGGCCTATGTACTGAATAAACTATTAAATTTCATTTCATATTCATCATTTCAGCTTAAGGCCACATAGGCCTTCCCAATGACATCCTCATTTCAGCCATAGGATGTCCACTGCTGAACATTAGCCTCCCCCAATGATTTCTAGATTGGTCGGTTGGAAGCGGCCTGCTTCTAACACCTTCCTGCACCCTTTATAAGATCATCTGTCCATCTTTTGGGCGAACTTAACACACTATTCTTGCCGTTTTACAGACGTAAAGATTTTTTTTTCTTAATATGTATTGATATGGTGGTTCACAGAAAAATTCTTGTTACACAACTTGCTTGGTGGTAAACTGTTACTATCAGATCAGATAAGCTGTCATCTGTACGTTCGTTTCAGCCAAATGACATTCACTGCTGGACAAAGGCCTCCCTTAAGAATTTCCACAGCGACCGGGTCTTGTGTTGCCCGCGACCTTAAACAGATCTTCAGTCTACCACACTACCGCCCGTATTCTCAAACATTACTATGAGGTCTTACAGTGCGCGTGGACGCACAGGATGACACACGAACCAATCATAGAGCTCTATTCAACGCTGCTTCACTTAATCAAGCATCGTTTATGAATACGGGCGTACGTCTTTCGTCATCCCCTGTACTATGTAACGCAGCGACTATTACCTTTTCCGCCGCCCTCCTCAGCCGGTGTATGTGGGCAGCGAGCCGTTTCTTTCTTTCTTTCTTTCTTTCCTTAACGCTTGCGCTTAATTATGTTGCTGTCGCGCTCGCACACTCACTGCGGGCGCCCGTCGCACAGTCGCGACAGCAATATAATTACGTGCGAGCGATAAGGATGGGTAGTTTGGGGTCATTGGACAAAATTCTACGTGCTCGCAGACCAGACTATAGCGAGTATTACCTTTTCCGCCTCCCTCCTCAGTCGGTGTATGTGGGCAGTGAGCCGCTTCCTGAACGTCCGATGTCGCCTGATGTTCTCGTGGTAGACAGGCGTGTCTTGGGGCTGGACGTACGCCCGTCGTCTTTCGTCATCCCCTGTACTATGAAACATAGCGACTATTACCTTCTCCGCCTCCCTCCTCAGCCGGTGTATGTGGGCAGCGAGTCGCTTCCTGAAGGTGCGGTGTCGCCTGATGTTCTCGCGGTAGACAGGCGTGTCTTGGGGCTGGACTTACTCAAGATCTTTCATCATCCCCTGTACTATGTAATTCAGCAACTATTACCTTCTCCGCCTCCCTCCTCAGCCGGTGTATGTGGGCAGCGAGTCGCTTCCTGAAGGTCCGGTGTCGCCTGATGTTCTCGTGGTAGACAGGCGTGTCCTGGGGCTGGACTTACTCGACATCTTTCATCATCCCCTGTACTATGAAACATAGCGAGTATTACCTTCTCCGCCTCCCTCCTCAGCCGGTGTATGTGGGCTGCGAGCCGTTTCCTGAAGGTGCGGTGTCGCCTGATGTTCTCGTGGTAGACAGGCGTGTCCTGGGGCTGGACTTACTCGACATCTTTCATCATCCCCTGTACTATGAAACATAGCGAGTATTACCTTCTCCGCCTCCCTCCTCAGCCGGTGTATGTGGGCTGCGAGCCGTTTCCTGAAGGTGCGGTGTCGCCTGATGTTCTCGTGGTAGACAGGCGTGTCTTGGGGCTGGACTTACTCAAGATCTTTCATCATCCCCTGTACTATGAAACATAGCGACTATTACCTTCTCCGCCTCCCTCCTCAGCCGGTGTATGTGGGCGGCGAGCCGTTTCCTGAAGGTGCGGTGTCGCCTGATGTTCTCGTGGTAGACAGGCGTGTCTTGTGGCTGGTTGTACACCGGATATAGCGTCTGCGGGCCCAGGTGCGATAGAAGTGCGTGCGCCGACGCCGCCTGGAGAAATGTTCGATTGTTGAACAAAAGTAGCCAGTAAAAACAAATGTAACACCTAATATGTCATCACCAATTGTTTTTAAAATATTACTGTCAAAGTCAAAATGTGTTTATTGCATTTCATGATTGTTTACAAGATATAAATACAAATTACTGATAAACCTCGTGATGAGCTAAAATATGCTTGCTTAATAGGAGTGAGTCCAATAGTCCAAAAGCCGAGGTTCGAACCAGCCTCAATTTCAATTTCATGAATGTTTACAAGAAATAAATACAAATTACTGATAAACTATCCTGATGAGCTAAATATGCTTGCTTAGGAGTAAATCCAATCAATAGTCCAAAAGCCAAGGTTCGAACCAGCCTCAGATCTAGACTCTGCCAGTCCGACACCGCCATCGATAGGCTATTGTCGCCTCAATATGCTTTCAATATTACGCTAAATTATTCACAATAGAGATACAAAACACTCAAGCAGAACAAGAATCGCTCATTTGACAATTTTTTAGTCCCGTTAAACCCTCGTGGTAAGCTATTGCTTGTGTAACGAGTGGGACTAAATAGTCCAGCGACGACGGGGTTCGAACCTGCCTTCTTCGGATCTCGATTCCGACAACGACATACACCATAACTATACTCGCTTATTCACAGAGAACGTGTTAAGTGAGTAGAATGTTTTCTTTTATTCAGTGGATTTACTTAAGGTATTTTTATATGTTCTTCTGTGGCTACTGCCTGAAGTAAAAATAATCTGAATTATTTACCTTCCCGCTTACCTTTTTCCTGTTATCCGCGTACACGCACTGCGCCAAGCTTCTATGTCTTGGCACGGCCTCCTCGGGCTCCTCGGCCCTCGCTGGCTTAGAAGCGGTCTGTTCCAGCTCCTCTTGCTTCTTTTTTAACTTGGCCAGGGTCGCCTCTGACAAAGCCATCTCGCGGTCCACCTGGAAAACAGGAGGTCGGAGTGAAAATGGGCCAAGTTTCGATGTTTTTTTTTTTCACATTACAAATAGTGGTGTTATAATAAAGATACAGGTATACATGTGACGCCGTGTAAGAGTATAGCAAAACATCAGATGTTGTGGAGATGAAGAATTTTAGTTTTGTATAAATGTTACGGTCAATGTGATAAATGTGAAAATTATGAATAATCGCCGGTTATTATGAATAATTACCTCATGATTTGGTAAAAGTGATTAATATGAGATCATTTATGTGTGTATAAAACTAAATAGGCGGCTTAGGGGTGGCCCAAGGGCCACCCCCGCCGCACCCTAACCTATTTTTCACTTTAAANTATGAATAATCGCCGGTTATTATGAATAATTACCTCATGATTTGGTAAAAGTGATTAATATGAGATCATTTATGTGTGTATAAAACTAAATAGGCGGCTTAGGGGTGGCCCAAGGGCCACCCCCGCCGCACCATAACCTATTTTTCACTTTAAATCTAAACAATATGTTATGGGCATTATGGCAAAGTAATGTTACGCAAGAAACAGTCCAAAGTCATTATGCTAAATTATATGAATATATGATATCAAAACGTTCAAAATGTGTGGCTGTACACCGGCGCTGTACACGAGCCGGTGTTCTCATTTATGATATTTGTTAGTATTAAGGTTGCATTATTAAATAATCACTGATAAATGTGATTAATTTATCACTTTTACCTCGACTGTCCGTAATTATTCATAATAACCGGCGATTATTCATAATTTTCAATTTATCACATTAACCGTAACATAAACATTATGAGTGTCATCGTATCTCTTACTAGGCTATCTACAATAATATTCTAATAATAGTAATTTTTAAGTGACCCCTATGGAAACAAAATTCCTGTTATGTGTTACCATTGGGGTCAGTTAAAAACTAGGGATTGATGGTGAAAACGGACATTAAAAAGATTTGATGGTTTGTATCGAATAGGTTCCGAAACTTCTAGACCGATTTGAAAAATTATTTCACCATGAGAAGGCTACATTATTTCCACCATAAGAACGCTACGTCGTAGGTGGTACGAAGTTTGCCAGGGCAGTAAGATATAATGAAGTAAATTACGTGACTCCCATCAAGCTTTGGTCATCAGCGTTTGTAAATACAGAAGTACCGTGTGACCTGTTAATAAAAATATCTTTATTCACTTATGACCTATATTACGCAGTTTTGCACTAACCCAACCAATGAAGGTCAAGTTTTTCCTGCAGATAAGTTCTATCATTGGACCCGCAACGAAATTAATCAGAAGAACATAGGAGTTCGAAGTTAAAAATCGACTTCCCACACTTCGCACTTCGACTTTGACAGTTGAAAAGTATGTCAATGCAAAAATGAACTATAGCCCTTAAAAGGCCCTTCGCATGTCTCCTTACTTTTGGGCCCTGTCAGTGTTAAAGGAAACTAAAGCATCAGCAGAATAACGCTGCACTGGTGTGATCCTTACCTTCGATATCTGCTGCAGCAGGTCATCCTTGGTGGTGCGAAAGCTGTCTTCCGCAGTAGGCTCGGAAGGGGGGTTGGGCGAGAGCTCCACCGCGTTATACGCGTTCACCGGCTGTGGGATTAAAAATATCGATTAATACTGATAATTAATTTCAATCGATCAACGTGGAAAGCATTACGGGACTATTCCCACCTCTCGTTCCCACCACTGCAACTCCTGTGTAGCCAGGATCTACAGCTTGACCGCCACAAAAACCCAACCAATGAAGGTCAAGTTTCTCCCGGGGGAAAGTTAAACTGTCATTGGACCCACAACGAAATTAATCACAAGAACATAGGAGGAGTTCGAAATTAAGGTTCGTTTGATGATGATTAATTTATTCTAAACATTTGCATGATGACCCAATCAAGTGACTAAGTGCGGTTTATTTTTGTTAAGCGGCTATTCTATGAAGTCCCAGTATCACTACGACCGGTACCGATCTATTGTGATCGCCACTATTTTCCTTACAGTTCGCCTCCGAGTCCTGCATCCATTAGGTAGTGCAGTATCTTTTAGGGGCGATATTTTTTACATCTTGTGAGCTTAGGATGTGCCCAGGTGGAAGCTCCTAAGCTAAGTGCGGTTTCGATTGCCCTGTGAAACTAACTAACCCCTGATAACAATATCCACAATTATTTGGCGAACAATCGCAAAAGAAAAAATATCATACTTGAATAAAGTGTTCATCGAGAATGACAGAAATGCACTCATTAATTGTCTAGTTTTAGTTAAAACCAAACCTAACGACAATTGATCAGTAGATGAAATACATTTTACAAAACTGACTAAAAGCATTTAATGTAAGTAATAACAGGCGTTTATTTTTGTTATTATTGTTAGTGTAAATTAAAGTTAAATTGACACGTAGTATAAAATAAGGTGTCATTGACTTAACGTTATTATTATTGTCATACTCCTCATAAGAATAGTAGGCATTAACGTTCTTGACGTATCTGACCAGAGGTGGAATTGTGTAAAGCAATCGTAATCATTTGACAGTTCATAATAACGTACGATAAAGTCAGTTAAACAAAGCGTTTGACAGAATAATCGTACGTTATGAACTGTCAAATGATTCCTATTGCTTTACACAATAGACAGTTTGATACCATACCCCAATAATTCGAAACCACTACTGTTTTAAAAAGATCCTTCATTCTGGTCTTAAAAAATTAATTAATTTTAAATTATCTGTAAATTACGAATTTTTTTCGCATTGTAATTGAAAAGTAGTACAATTGAGTTGACAAAATAGTAACGTCACTTGCTTGTAGTGCCATACAAAATCTATGGGAGAGTTTCGTTTTGACAGTTTTAAAAAGTACGTCAATTGACTGGTGGTGTCAACATGTCTATTCTACATGACCTCTCTATCTACGTGGACCTATAATTGGCTCTTTAGTGTTTTTGGTTCGGAAAGCATTGCCCAAGATATGAGGTCAGGACGGAAAGTAACCTAGTGAGTGTAGGTAGAGTCCTTATCCCTAGCCCTAGCCAGTCCAGGTAGCTCAGGGCATAGAACAGCAGGCAAGCCCCACTACCAGCATTTATATTGAAATGGATGTCAGACTCACCACTCTTGTATCAACTCTGAGGGGCTGATGGACCGGCAGCGGCGTGGGTGGTGGCCTCTCGACGCCGAACCGTATCTTCTTGAAGGGGGGCGGGTCCGCCGGTGGCGGATGGTGCGGCTGCGGCGCCGGCGCCGGCAAGTACCCACTGCCGAGCATGGACATGCGGGTGCCACCGCGGTACTCGCCCACCGCACCGCCTCCTCGCACGTAACTGCCATCCCTGGAAAGGAGAGAAGGAGCATTTAGTCTATGGTCTATTTGCATGCTTCTTGACGACAAGATGTGCAATTAAGCTAGCTTGTGTTTATTTATTTATTTATTAGGTACACCAACAAAGTCACATACATAATACAGTTCATACATTTTAACATGGTTTAACACATGATGCGTATATGACCTCAATTACAGGTATACACAGCATTTCTTTTTGCAATGTTAGGGAACTTGTAAACCATGTTTTATGCAAATAAACGCTTATGTTCCATTATCATCAGGTCATTTAGTTTCTACTGCAGCAGAACGATTCTAATTCACCTGAGGTAAATAGACGATTTTGCCTATACCTGTCCAGATGGGTTGGGGAGATTTGATGATCGCATATTTCTCCTATGGTCGCCTCTTACGGCATCCAGGGGAAGAGAGGTTCAGGGTTGTATTCTACTTTCTCGGGAACAAACGACAGAACCGAGAACCAGGCAATAGTAGCACGTAATGTAAAGTATTATCAACATAGACAGACATATCCTACGAGATCTATCTTTGATTTTTCAACTACTTAGTTGAGTACTACGTTAATTTAGCAATTTCGAAGCAACGTCGATCAAAGGAACAAAAATAAATAAACACATTCGAGGGTTTCCATAAAACTCGATAAGTGTACGTCGAAAATGCTGCCTTTATTCATTCGGCAAATAATAAATGTAACAAAATACCCAATAAAACCTTTTTAGGGTAAGCCTCTCAGGTGATCCGAAGCCAAAGCGCTAAAAGGTTAGGGCCATTGAACTTCTGAGCTCGTAGTTTCATAATCCCTTATTTGCGGGGAAACAGTATTGTTGGGAACCGATTGGTGGACCAACCTCTTTTTTATATTGTCTATGTTTTTTATACTTTTTTTATTACCTTTTGATACCTTTTGTTTAGTTTGAAGTTAGTGTTTTTTGATAGCCGTTGTGGGCATATTTTTGCAGAAATACATCTTCATTTTAATCCGAAGGTTTTTCTTATTTCCGCACGCCCGAGCGGCTGTCCGCAACAAGTATGAAGTTTATAATTGGAGGGCTTACTATTTATATCAACTATCGATAAAAGTAAAACTAAAAATATCGCGATTCTAGTTTTGTCCAATCTAATAATATCTAATGCACGCCACTAGATGATTATGAATGGAGTGAGATGCAATGCCCAAATAATTGAAAAACTTTTTACACGTAGTTATTTTCTATATTTCAAGTATAAAGTCCATTGTAAATTTCCGATACTTTCGACAACATTAATGGATTCGGGTTTCGGGAGATAAACCCCAAAATAGAGATATTGATTCAACAAACCACATTCATACTCGTTTGATTGATTGATCTGGAGTAGCGCTGGAAATTTCCAATATGTTTTAATATGATCTGAGGTTTTAAGTAAATATCGGTAAGTTAAAATGAATGGATGGAGGTCGAAAACATTATCGGATTCTAGGTACAGCATCGACCATTGACCTTTGGGTTGTGTCCATTCAACTGTAAATTAACTTGACATTTCGTTATTTCTGAAGGGAGACTCTCTCTACTTTCTGAAACCTAAATATTGGAAAATAACGCTTGTAATAAATTAGATTACTACACATTAACTTAATTATTACCTAGAGAGCTGTGATTAATACTATTATTTTTCGAAATAACGTAACGTAACGTAAGCCTATTCTGGTAATCCGAAAAGTCGGATAAAGATGCGAAAGAAACGTCTTACGCTTTATGTTTTGCGTAATTTAAGCAATAAAGCTATCAGTTATCCATAAAACTATGATATTATTAGTGGACATTATCAGGAACACATCAATGAGGATAATGGCCCCTGATCATTAGTTTACAAACGCCCTTTAAACCAGCCGGAATGGACGATAAAATACATGGCATGTTGTGAAATATTTAGTAAACACGCATGCAAACGATAGAATGCACCGCGCCTGCGATCTTGCAATAATGAGTCATGTGGAATAGCGAATTAAAGCCCCAGTCGTACTACGCTTTCGAAATAATTGTATGTAATTAATAGATATCGTACTTGTTTATCACATGCATGTAGCAATTTTCAGATAGATTCTACTTTCTAAAAACATTTTTTTTAATGTTACTTTTTAATAAAAAGTCGACAAACGGCAAGATAGGTACAACTTGGCGAAAGAACTCTACCGTGCCCCACGCATCTGTTCATTTATTTGACAACAGATGTCGCTAGCGCCACCACGTTAATAAATTATTGTGACCCAATTTTAATTATTTGTCAATAAATACTGTTTACGAGGTTCTTGCAAATACTACTAGTATTGTAATGACCATAACAATCATTAGTATAAATGACTACACATTAAATACATAAATTAACTATGAAATAGGAGTCAAAGCACAACTGTCAGTGTCTTCCACAAACCAAAACAAACAAACAAAAACACAACATCGCATTTGCAAGATGAAATAACGAACAAAATTACTATACCAATACACTGTCCCGGTCGGAATGCAATTATTGTGCATGTCCTCTGTACATCACCCTCTTTATCACACTACACACTTTTTACTTTTTTAGTAAACACGGCTTTGTTAACATTTGCGTTGCGACGCGTCAATCGAATTTGACAGATAAGGCCATTGACTACAGCAACCACGATTTGATGGCCAGCGGTACAGATTTCCGGGGAAGAATCAAATGACCAATCAAAACCGCGAAAATTTACTTTTGGCGAATTCTATTGGCCATTCACCGTGCCTGTAGAGTAGACGTTGGCAGGGAAAGAAGAAAGGCTAAGGTTGCGGGGGGAGGGGGCTAACTGTTCTGCCCGCGTGCGTTCACAACAAAGTCATTTTTTTATTATTATTCTGTCGCCGACGAGACCCAACTCCGAAGCACGTGTTTCACAACTTTGAAGACGGTGCGTGGGCACTTAGATAGATAATGATAAAATTATTGGAAAGTGTAACAACATTTCAAGGTTTCTCTTAAAAAAATCTTAATAATGCAGTTAATTTTCAACTAAAACTTTAATTTAACAAAATCTAACATCATTGTTCTTGGATATTTTTAGTTGGCGCGCTTTTTTATTCAAGTCCAGTCCACACCGGCCAAGTCCTATTTGAATTTATATAGAAAAGAGAAACTTTTATTGCTAAGAAAAACTGAAGACTTGAATAAATGGCTCAAAGATTTGCTCTATTTCAAGTGAAAACAAAAAAAAACAGTTAATTGCGCAGTCGTATAAACACGACACGATACATACGACACGTGTTACATCGTAAGCGAAACGTGGCGAGATATCGCGTGACCTTTGCACGTAACGTAACACTGTACCGGCTTTTCGAAATGGACGGGGAAAATACAGGGAGGAATTTTGTAATGCCACCTGGGGGGAAAGTACTCTTAATACTGTAGATAGAAAATTTTACTCAAAGAAAACATCCCTTTATTTAAAAAAAGAAAATAGAACTGCATTTAAAGACTTCCAACTCGCTCCCGGGAATCGAACCAACTAACATCTGTGAAAAATTACAACCTATATTTTTTTAAGGTGGTAGGTATGGTGTTGAATTATCGAAAAAATACATCTTTGGATGCACTTTTCTTTCTTTTAAATAATAAAGGAATGTTTTCTTTTAGTAAAATTTTCTATCTACATTATTAAGAGTACTTTTCCTCCAGGTGGCATTACAAAATTCCATACTGTATAGGTAACAGTTTCCTCTTGGATCTTTTATCAAAAACCACGTCCGATTCGCGAGCGTAACGTTTTATCGTCACGCTAGAACACACACGAATAAAATCGTTAATCAATGACGTAATTGCAGATGGAGTTGTTTTTATCTTATCAATAATATTTCACACTACTTTGCAGAGAATAAATAAATGTTAAACAACACATTTTTATGTAGGTATTTCTATTATTGCTAAATCTATTTTTACACGTTGACATACTATTGATCTTATTCAAGGTAACGTATTTCTAGAATACATTAAATGGAGATTTTATCAAATGGTGCAATTACATTGTGTATTGTGTAATATTTGTATCTAAATAAAGACACGTCCTAACGCAAGATCCTGGTAATATAAAGGTATATTCATATTTATACAGTGGGGCGTAGCGCGTAGGCCATGAGACCGGGCCATAGAAAACATAGCGCAATGCGGGGCATTACCGGATCTGTACTAGATACGACTGGGTGTTGTTGATCACGAGACGTGCAATAAACTTTCCTTTATCATCGTCATTATCATTAAGTCATTAGTCTCTACTCTACTACATGAGCACGATCTCTAATTAATTTACCGCAGGCAACTTGTCTTAGATGACTTTACGGTACTTAAGACGTAGCGTGGGCAGGCCTCCTACTAGGTGGACCGACGATCTGGTGAAGGTCGCGGAAGAGCCTGGATGCGGACAGCGCAGGACCGGTCGTTATGAAAATTCTTGGGGGAGACCTTTGTCCAACAGTGGACGTCATTTGGCTGAAACGAACTTGTTTTGTCTACCCATGCTGGCTAGAAGGGTTGGGGAGTATTTGTAGCTTTTTACGACATCCACGGATAGAGTGGGGCGTTTCTATTTAATTTTTCTGGTGGAATCACTCGGTGACTGAAACTTTGTAAAACGAAAGTGAAACTCTTGACAGACCGAAATCACTCGGTGTGGGCAGGAGCTATTGGTTTTATTGCAATCTTGTTGAAGTGACCTTCAGCGCTACGCATAGTTCTCATTCCAGCTATAACAGTTTGGATCCAATCCAAGGGTTCAGGCTGACAGTTGGCAGTTCTTGTGTGGACTCATCCGTTTGGCACGGACGCCAATCGGAAACGATTTCACTTGGATGCACCAGAAATTCCTGAAGCATTAGACGAAACTAAAGCATTTTCGCTGTGTTACATTGTAACAAAACCTTCAAAGTTACAGTACGAAATACAATCTTACAGATGAACATTATTTGTGTAATACTTTCAATAAAACTTTCATATAGGTAG